GCCACCGCCCCCCGTCCCCAGCCCCACGCCCAGATCGTTGCAGGCCAGAGGAAAAGCACACCGGCTTTCTGGCTTTCGCAGCCCTGCCGCTAGTCCCGGCGGGGCAGGCTGGGTGCGCTAGGAGCGAGTCCGGCTCGACGTGCTGCGGGTTTCTTTTCTGACACGTTTTTTAACACGTCCACGGCGCGCACGGGTACGTCGTTAGAACGCGGAGCACATTTTTTCACTCACCTTTTCCTGTCTAGTTTTCATTGCCGCTCATTCACTCCACAAAGATTTGCAGCCCCAAAAGTTGCTTGTGTCCAGAATTGGATAAAAACTGTTGCAAACCCTGAGTCCACAGATGCATTTCCAACTCAGGATCCAATGATTTGAGTAAGACCCTGTTGCTCCAAATAATGACAGACGCCACAAGGAGATAGCTCTTTATATTCTAGGTTTTTGGTCCAGTTTTTTTAGAATCATTTAGATAACCCAAACGCCCTCAAAACAAAAACAAACTTAACTTATGTATACCTGATTTGCATAGACGTTGAAAACATGTTTTTTTCCAAGGATCAACTTTTTTCTTCACCTGTCTCTGAAAGCTGGAATGGAATCTTGAATAATTACTAGAATGGTGAGTTGTATTTAAAGAAGAATTATTCTGAGGAGTAAATTTCACATGAACCAAAGAATTATTGCCAGCAACGTTAATATCAAAAACCATGGTAAATGAATGGTAGTCCGATTATTCCTGTACCTCTATGCATCAAGCATCCCATTTAAAATTCTTGTTTATTATTATATATTTTATATTTAATTATTAAAAGAAAATACAACAAATCCCATAAAACCCATAAAATGGCATTTATAGGTTATATATCAGAATTTCTGCTAATTAAATCCTTTCTTTGTTAAACTATTTGAGCATTTACTGGTCAATTCTTGGATCTCATTTATTTTTTTTCCTAAAAGCAACATTTATCAGAGAGTTGCTTATTTCTGCTTCTCAGAACAAAAGCTACAATTTTAGCCTTGTAAAATGCCACTGAGATCAGGTCACTCTCTTGTGCAGAACCCTCCTTTGATAAATAAAATGAGGTATATCCAGACAAGGGAACATTATTCAGTCATAAAAAGGACCAAAGTACTGACATGTGTGCTACTTGGATGACCCTTTAGACATTATGCAAGTCAAAGAAGGTAGACATAAAAGAATAAGTTGTGTTTGTGTCATTTGTATGAAATGTCCAGAGGAGACAAATCTATAGAAATAGAAAGTAATTGGGGGATTGAAGCACCTGGGGGTAGCCAGGTTATGGGGTGATGAAATTATTCTAACATCATTTTCCAGTAATAGTTGCACAAACTTTGTGGATACACTGAAAGCCATTGAATTTTATACCTTAAATGAGTGCATTATATGGCATGTGAATTTTATCTCAGCAAAGTTGTTAAAGGAAAAAAAGGAAAATATAACTAAGTGCAGTATATGAACCTTGATTGGACTCTGATGAGAAAAAAAAGCTATACAATGGCATTATAAATGCTTCTAATTTTTCTGAACCTCTACATGGTCTTTTTTTTTTTAAAGAGAGAGAGAGAATTTTTAATATTTATTTTTTAGTTATCGGCGGACACAACATCTTTGTTTGTATATGGTGCTGAGGATCGAACCTGGGCGCCGCACGCATGCCAGGCGAGCTCGCTACCGCTTGAGCCACATCCCCAGCCCCTACGTGGTCGTTCTTAATGCAGTCCTACAAGCCTCAAATGATAAGTATCAATATTACACACACTATGAAATTTGATTTCACCCCTTGTGCATGTTATTTCTTTAAATGGTAATAAAAATTTAGATACTCTTTTAAAAATGACATTAATGAGACAGTTATAAGAACATGAATATAGACTATATATTAATATCATCGCATTAAAATATTTTAAAAATCCTTCTTTGGCTCCCCATTTCACTCAGAATAAAAGTTCTCCCAGTGTGTAGAGAACTTACAAGATCTTCCTTCCCCAACCTCCTTTACCACTCCAACCTCATCTTCTACTTTCCCTCTTGCTCCCTTTCTCAAGTCACCCTGGCCTCCTCACTCTTCTGCAACATTCCGGGCACACTCTCACTTCAGTTCTCAGGTACTAGCTGTTCCCTCCCTGGAAGGAGGTCCACATGGCTCCTCTGTCCCTTCCCCATGACTTTCATCTGCATGTCAACAAGGCCACCATCTACAGTTTCTCCTATACACCTTTTATCCTTTCTCCCTATTTGGCTACGTATGTTTCTTGTAGCAGTACCTGTATTGATTAGCTTTCCATTACTGTAACAAATACCTAAGACAATCAGCTTATAAAGAGAAAAGATTCATTTTGGCTCACGGATTCAGAGGTTTCAGTCCATGGTCGGTTGGCCCTATTGTTTTTGGTCCTGTTGGAGGCAGCAGGACATGGCAGGAAGTCTGTGGTGGAGGAGACTGCTCGCCCCACGATGGCTGGAAGTGAGGAAGCCAGGGAGGGGAGGGGAGGAGAGAGAGAAAGAGACACGAACGTCCCAGGATCCCCTTAGAGCACGCCCCCAGTGACCTAAAACCTCCCAGTAGGCCCCATCTCTTAAAGTTTCCTCCACCTCCCATTAGGGCCAGGCTGAGGACCAAGTCACTGAGGTCTTTGGGCCGACATTCCAAATCCAAACTCTAGCATGGCCTAGCTGCTTACCTAGAAAGCTAAATTCTTGGCCTGTTGTGTTCACTGCTGTAGCCTCGGCGCCTGAAACTGCCTGGCATCTAACAGAATCTCATTAAACACCTGCCAGATAAATGAGCCAATCAATCAATCAATCACGCCTTCTTAGTCTTGGGGGACATGATGGCAAACAAAACAGATGAAAATCCCCGCCCTCCTCAAGGGAGACATAATAATTACAAATACGTTAGGTGGTGGTTCAGGGGATAGAAAAAGCAAGGGAAGAGAGATCTGGAGCAAGGCCAGGGTTGGGAGGTGGTGGCTGTCTCTACTGGGACAGGGAAACCCCCTGGCAGGAGGCCCTGCACACAGTAAAGGAGGCCTGGCACACTCTCTGAGGGATGGTTTTCTGACCTCCCAAGCAAAGGACAGAGCCAGTGCAAAGTCCAGGTTACTTCATGTCTTCATGACATCCAGGGGCCATTGCAGCGTTGCCAGGAGAAGTGAGTGGCTGGCCGGAAGGCTGGGTGTGGGGCCCAGGGGCACACAGGCCACAGAGGCAGCACCCCAGGGTGGTCTCTTCTCACTGCTCTCCTATCTGGAAGAAATATCCAAGGACCTGTTTCCAGAGAACTGCAGAGGGTGAAGAGATGTTGGAAGCCACAGAGAAAGGGCACCTTGGAGCAGTTGTCTTCCAGGAGGGCTTGAGAGCCAACGAAGTAAGGAACCGTGGCCGGACTGCCAGCCTGAAAGACCATCCTAAGAGGGGTTGAGAAGAGGGGAGGACTGAGGAAGGGGAGGGAGACAAAGGGAGAGTAATTGGCAGGGCATGGATATGATCAAAGTATGTCACATGCCTGTACAGATATGCCACAATGAAACCCACTCCTCTGTATAATTAATATACACTGATTAAAAAAAAACACAACACTATGTTATAGACACTGTATTCTCTACTTTATAGATGCAGAAACAGAGGCACCAACATCATAAGTGACTTGCTCAAAGTCACACAGCAAGTACGCTGGTGTCTATAAAGTACTGGGTATGGAACCT